TTAAGCTTAAAATGGGCTTTCAGTTGCAGTCCAGTGTGTTTGCATGTGTTTTTATGCATTTCCATGCGTTCCAGACTAGAGAAAACGAGACGAGCAGCATTTTTTTTGTGTCTGGACCGGAATAGACTCTGCTGGTGTGAACGGAGCCTAGAAATACCATAGGGATACATTGGGATGCTTTTTTGGTCCGGGACCAAACTGTTCTGGTCTGAACATGAGCCCTTGCACCTGAGTGGCTAGATCCACTTATTCAAGTTGTACCCCCACTCACTAAAATGGTTCAAAAATGAACCTGTAGGGGGAAATGGTTGCATATTATACTTAACTTTCCATGAATGTCTCCTGCAGCACTAGATGAGGGTGAGCTCATCCTACTTCCCGGCCAGACCAAGTAGCCAAAACTGCGTGAAGAAAAAAAAAAAAAAAAAAAAAAAAAAAAAAAAAAAAAAAAAAAAAAAAAAAAAAAAAAAAAAAAAAATCGAACCTGCACTGTGCTGAACATCTTCTAGCGTCATTTTTTTCAGCATCACCCCCTGGACTACAGAAGTAAGGGAAAGCCGAGAACATCATCTAGATAATGTTTTATAGTGTTTTAGGATGGGAAGGTGGTGCAAAATAAGAGTCAACCTAGCTCTCCTGATGCTTAGAACCTATAATAAGAAGCTGCCCACTGCAAGTCACACATTACTGCAACCAAAACTGATAATACAATAAAATCACATTGAATGCAATTACCTTGAATAAGTGGCCACTGAGGTGGATGGTCCACCTTAAAAGGCAACAATAAGGACACATTAAAAAGATCATAATAATGGCTTACAGGAATAAGAAAAGCCAGGGTTTTCCCAGACCCAGTTTTGGCAGCTCCAAGAACATCTTTTCCTTGTAAGGCCAATCCAATCGTCTGCTTCTGGATCTCAGTAGGTAATCGATATTGAGCCTCAACAAGACCTATATGTGGGATAAACACAATGCCTGATTGTTTGCTACTTTACAAAATGTCTACATCCATTACGTGAACTATGTCCCAGGCAGTGAAATCAACTCTTACTCGTACCACAAACTGAACATTTAAAAAAAAGCGTACCAAATTTCACCTTAGTCAAAGTTCTGCATGCTACCAGAATATACAGAGCTCAAGTGTGGGATGGTCTCCTTGCTGTGTAACGTCTCTACTTGGCACATCACCATGCAGATTTACACTTTCACTGCAGGTAATAATGTGATCCGTGGCTGTGATAGGGCAGCTTCACTGAAGTTTGCATCGATACTCTACTACAGGGGTAACAACCTAAGACATTCCAGCTGGGGTTTATATATATATATATATATATATTATATATATATATATATATA